TATGGGCCCCGGCTAGAGGCGCCGCCGCCGCCGGCCCGCGGAGCCCCGATGCTGGCCCGGAGGAAGCCGGTGCTGCCGGCGCTCACCATCAACCCCACCATCGCCGAGGGCCCGTCCCCCACCAGCGAGGGCGCCTCCGAGTGAGTGCGCGGGGTCCCCGGGGCCTGGGAGGGTCGTGGGGTCTCAGACCCCAGGTGTGTGTGGGGGGGTCTGGGAGTGACGAGAGGGGGGCCCGGGGGGTCCCCGTGAGCACACGATGGGGTGGAGTCGTCCCCCACAGTGAACTAGGCTGCGAGGTCCTTCAGTGGCAAAGTGGGGGTGCTAAGGATGCCAACTTAGGAGGCCCTCACCCCAAGAAGGAGACGGAGGCGGAGGCCCTGCGGGAAAAAGATGGGGTCGTCCCCAGGTCGTGCCGTCGGTAAAAGAAGGGTCCGGATGAGGAGGCCTCTGGAGAATTTGGGAGAGGTGCCTGAGAGACTATAAGACATAGAGATGCTGTGGGCTGGGAGAGGGGGTGCAGAGCCCCGAAGGTGGGATGAGTGGTGAGCATCCCCCCATAGAGAGGATGGGAAACGGGCGGGAGTGGGGTTAGTAGGGTAAGGACCTGAAGTGGGAACTGCTGGAACCCCTCAAGCAGATTGTAAAGTAACTGGGTTAGAAAAGCCTGGAAGGAGGGGCGAATGGGCAAAACAGAGATCATTGAGCATGACAAGAGGTCTTGGGGGGCTTCTAGGAAGCTGGGGACAGACCGGGGAGCATCCCAGAAAAGGCTGGGGTGATGGGTTCCCCGAGTGGCTGAATTGTCAGGGGAGCGGCTCCAAGCGTTGTTGGGGTTCACAGCCGTTGAGAGCATGCTATGACCTCTCCACTTACATGGGGAGACTGAGGCTATCAACGGAGTGGACAGGCCACAGGTTTTATTTTTTCATTGATCAACCTACTCCATCCTTCCTGTAAGGGAACTCTTCCTATATTCTTTTCTTTCCCTGGTTCAGGATGTGTGCCCTTCATGAATACCTGGGTTGAGTAAGCCAGTCTGGGGTGCACGTGTGCGCGCACATGCACATGTGTGTGCGCACACATGCACATGTGTGTGCACACACATGCACATGTGTGTGTGTGCACACATGCCTTATTGAGTTTCTATTATGTTTAAGGCAGGTTGGCGGTACACTGGACGTGTCACAGGGCGGTTCCCAGAGATGCCTCTTCAGCCCCACAGTGCACACCTTCATTCATCCACTTATTGGTTCCTTTGCGCTTGCGTGCTCGTGGTTTCTCTTTCTTGTGTCTTGCCACCATATCATCTGGCTTTTTTTTCAGCTGTAAGCATCTGCTTCAGGCCCTGGTCCTGGCTCAGAGGGGCTTCCTGTGTCATGTGACCTGCAGTAAGTTCCCCCCACACACCCCAGGAGCCTGCTTCTCCTGCTTAGGCTAGTCTCCAGGTGATAATGCAGCCCAGAAAAGGGTGCCCAGCACCCTTCCATTCCAGGTGATGTCACCTTTGACCCCTGTGCCCTTTGGCTGGAGTATTTTTAAGGCATAGGCAAGTAATGGTCATCTCAGGATTGCATTTCTCCTGATGAGACATCCAGTTACCCCCTTCCTCCTCAGGTGAACTCACCTCGAGGACCATCAACTTTGGCTTAGACCTCAGGGAACCGAGGACCCAAGGCTGCCTAAGGATGGCCGGAGGTGACCATTCTCCAGACATTTTCACTGATGGCTGTCTGGGCTATATCCCCTGCTCCAGCCAGTCCCAAATATGTGACATGGCCAGTGTCCCAGAGCCAAAACCCTAATATGAGAAAACAGAAAGTGAATACTTATTATACACATTGAAAACGATCATCTAGCCAGGAGCCAGGAGCTCATGTCTATCAGCTGCTCAAGAGGCTGAGATCAGAGCATCACAGTTTGAAGTCAGCCCAAGCCCCATCTCCAATTACTTACTGAAAACCCAGAAGTGGAGCTGTGGCTCACGTGTTAGAGCTCTAGTCGAGCAAAAAAACTCAGATAGCCGGGCGCTGGTGGCTCACGCCTGTAATCCTAGCTACTCAGGAGGCTGAGATCTGAGGATTGCGGTTCAAAGCCAGCCCAGACAGGAGAGACCATGAGACTCCTATCTCCAATAAACCACCAGAAAACCGGAAATGGCGCTGTAGCTCAAGTGGTAGAGCGCTCGCCTTGAGCTGAAGAGCTGAGGGACAGTGCCCAGGCCCAGAGTTGAAGCCCCCACGACCGACAAAAAACAAACAAACACAACTCAGATAATGCTCAGGCCTTGAGTTCAAGCCCCAGGATGGGAAGGAAGGAAGGAAGGAAGTATATCATCTATTTGGGTTTGTTTGGTTTTTGAAACAGGATTTTTATCTGTAGCCTAGTCTGTCCTTGAACTCAAGATCCTCCTACCTCAGTCTTTCCCCTGCTGAGATTCCAGGTGGGCACCACATGGCTAAAATACAGTATTAATTTTAATGTTACTTTCCTCCCCGCCCCCGCTTTAAACATTAATCCTTTCTTCTTGTGGGGCTTGAACTCTGGGCCTGGGCACTGTCCCTCAGCCCTTCAGCTCAAAGCTAGTGCACTACCACTTGAACCACAGTGCCACTTCTGGTTTTCTGAGTGGTTTATTGGCAATAAGAGTCTCACAGACTTTCCTGACCGGGCTGGCTTTGAACCTCAATCCTCAGATCTCAGCCTTCTGAGTAGCTAGGATTACAGGCGTGAGCCATTGGTGCCTGGCCTAATTTTTTAAATTTGATATTGTGATGCTGGAGATAGGAGGAGATGGAATCTGGGCCTCATCTGTTACGTTTCTCTTGGGCAACATTGCTACTAGGGCTGACTCTTTTTCCTTAGGGTGGGCCTCAAAGTCAATGCATTCACAAAAGCAGCTCATTGTTAAGTTGTCCTTTTCAGAGCCCTTGCTTCACTCAATAAATTGATGTAGACATCTTTGGTCCCATAGTACCCAAGTTCAGGGCTTGTGTAAACCTGATGTTTGACAGAAGCTGGCGGGGTCCCGGTAGCAGGGTGCCAGGTGCTTGGGGTGCCCTGGGGCTGTCTACACAGTTTAGGTTCTGCACCCCTCCACTGCCAAGCTTTAATTCACATCAGCCAATGCTCACAGGATGTAACATCTGCTTTGAAACTTGGATTTGCCACCCTAGGCAGAGATGGGCATCCTGGCCCCAGGCCTCAGCCCATCCGGCCCCTGGCTCCTTCATCCCCATCTGATGTGGTCTGAGCATCTCCTGGGTCCCTGAGCTGGTGCTTGTCCTCACAGTCTCCTAATACTATGAGCAGTGACCAAGGCCCTCTGACAGGGTTCTTTCCTCCTAGGCAGGGAGCCTGGAAGGGCAGGCATCATGTCTGCCCCGTCTGTGTATCCTTGTGGCCATTGTAGCTGCTGGCTGCTCCTGCTTTCCTTGCTCACCTTTGCCCTTGGGGTCTCCACAGGGCAAACCTAGTGGACCTGCAGAAGAAGCTGGAGGAACTGGAACTAGATGAGCAGCAGAAAAAGCGTCTCGAGGCTTTCCTTACCCAGAAGGCCAAAGTCGGCGAGCTCAAGGATGATGACTTTGAAAGAATCTCAGAACTGGGAGCTGGCAATGGCGGGGTGGTCACCAAGGTCCAACACAGACCATCAGGTCTTATCATGGCCAGGAAGGTGAGCCAAGGCCCCCAGGTGGGTTGTGTGAGGGCAGGTACCCAGGAAATAGAGAGATTGAAAAGACAGCCTGCTGTGCTCCTATTGGCTCCCTCTGTGCTCCCATAGACTGTTTTCAGGGCCTCTGTGCTCTCATTGGCTACCTCTAGGACCTCTGTCCTCCCATTGGCTGCCTTCTGGATTGTAAGTCCCAGGAATTTACTCAGAGTGTATCAGCCTTGTTTCTGCACACCTTTCCCCTTTCATGGCCAACCTCTGCCTTCAAGGATGTTTTTGTTTTGTGACTTTTGTTCTTTGCCAGTCCTAGGGCTTGAACTCAGAGTCTGAGCTGCTTCTGCTCAAGGCTAGTGCTGTACCACTTGAACCCCAGCTCCACTTCCCCATTTTGGTGGTTAATTGGAGCTAAGAATCTCTCAGAATTTCTTTTCTGGGTTGGCTTTGGATGGTGGATCCACAGATCTCAGCCCTCTGAATAGCTAAGATGACAGGCATGTGCCACCAGTACCTGGCTACCTTCAGGGATGTTTTAAAATCCGATTCTGAGCCTGGAAATGGGGCTCAGTGATGAGGTCCTGGATTCTCTTTGTTGTTGTTGTTGTTGTTGTGGCTCAATGATGTCCTGGATTCTTTTGTTGTTGTTGTTGTTAAATGTGGGACTTGAACTTGAGGCCTGCGTACTGTCCCTGAACTCTTTGGTTTAAGGCTAGTGCTCTACCACTTGGAGCCACAGCTCCTCTTCCCCTTTCTTGTGATTACTTGGGAGTCTCACAGACTTTCCTGCACAGGCTGGCTTTGAACCGAGACTCTCATATCTCAGCTTCCTGAGTAGCTAGGGTTATAGACATGAGCCACCAGCATCCAGTGAAGCCCTGGGATCAGTGAGGCCCCAGCACCATGTAAAAGAATTAAAAAAGAAAAGAAAAAGATTGCCAGGGTGCAGGCCCAGCTGGCTGAGTTGAGTGTTCTACTACTGAGCCACACCCCAGTCCCAGGGAGAATGTTATGTTTTGGTTTTTTTTGAGACAAGGTCTCACTACAGAGCCCAGGCTGACCTCAAGCACACCATGTAACTATGGCTTGCCTAGAACTCAGGGTCCTCTTGCCTCAGTGCTATGATCCTTTCAGGTCACAGCCATAGCCACCACACCCAACTTGGAGAGAACTTTATTTGAAGGACTTGGCTCCTGTGACTGTGGAACCCGGTGACTGATTCTGAGGTTTGCTGGAGCCTCAGGAAACAGTGATATTTCTACTTAAGTCCAAAGGCCATCTCAAGACAGACTTCTCACTTCCCAGGCAAACACAGATTGCCTTCAACTGATTGGATGTGGCCCACCCTCACTACAAGGTGGCCTGCTCTACTCAGAATCTGGTGTCAATGTTCAACACATCTGAAAACTCCCTTCCCTACAGCACCTTAGCCTGGCATATGAACAAATTTGGAGGGCGCATGAAGTTCTCTGTCACCCCTTCAATGGGACTCCAAGCCACTGCTTGCCAATCCGGGACTCTGTGGCACAATGTAGCCTTCCTCTGGGTGTTGGAGAAGAAGCCTTAGGAGGTATAAGGAGTTGAGACTGGCAGAGGAGTTGAGACATTTTGAGATAATGATCCTAAAGCTAAACACAGAATCCAAGGATTTCCAAGATGACCACTGAGCTTGCGCATTTGCTTGGAGGTGGACGGTTACTTCATGTGGAAGCCCACCCTGAGCCCCGCACACACACGTCTCTCCATCCTGTGGTACCTGCCTTCCCATTTCTGGGTTTCTGTTCTGTCTGAGCTATTTCTTCTCACATCTGAAGCATTTCCCCTCAAAATCTGCAGCCCAGAGCCTTCTGTCTCTGTCCTCTTCCTGTAGACAGCATTTTCCAAACCAGTGCCTCCCGGGGAATCTCCGGTTCTCTTCACCCAAGGCATTGGCCAGGTAGAGGACAGGGTGCTGGTCAAGAGTGCAGATACCCCAGGAGCAGACGCCTGGGCCCGTGCACCTGTGCAGAGCACCGGCAGGTGCGGAGCAGCTGTGGGGTTCCTGCAGGCCTGTGCGCCGGGCTATCCAGTTCTTTTGGGTCCTCCTGGCATGGTGCCATGCCAGCAAAACTGCACCCAGCACACCACTCCCTCCATTTATGTGGCTCTGCTGGTTTGTAGATGTTTTCTTCTTTTGAGCACAGCCTTGTCACTGCCCTTGCAACCCTTGAGCTAGTCAGGATCAGCAGGGACCCTACCACATCTGTAATGCACTCCTGGCCACTTGGAACTCCATTTGTGTAGCAGAGAGCTGCTTGTCTGACCTGAGCTGGGATTCCTCCACTCTAGCCCAGCTCTCCCCCCGGAAGCACTTCATACAAGGGTTGGCCTCTGGCAGGACTCTGCTGGCAACCCACAGGATGAAGGCTAGGCAGGCACTCCACCACTTGAGTGCCCTTTTTTGCGTTAATTATGTTTAGTTAGTTTTTGTTGGTTGTGGGGTTTGAACTCTGGGACTGGGCACTGTCCCTCAGCTCTTCAGCACAAGGCTAGCACTTTACCACTTGAGCCACAGCACCCCTTTCCGTTTTCTTGTGGTTTATTTGAGATAAGAGACTCACAGAGGGCTGGGAAGGTGGCTCAGTGGTAGAGCGCTTGCCCTGCATGCCTGAGGCCCTGGGTTCGATTCCTCAACACCACATAAGCAAAAAAGAAAAAAGCCAGAAGTGGCACTGTGGCTCAAGTGATAGAGTGCTCGCCTTGAGCTGAAGAGCTGAGGGACAGCGCCCAGGCCCAGAGTTCAGGCACCACTACTGCACCCCCCCCCAAAAAAAAGAAAAGAGACTCACAGACTTTCCTGCCTGGGCTGACTTTGAACTGTGATCCTCAGATCTCAACCTCCTGAGTAGCTAAGATTATAGGCATGAGCCACCAGCACCACACACCCGGCTTATTTTTATTTATTTTATTTTTATTTTTTTGCCAGCCTGGGACTTGAACTCAGAGCCTGGGCACTGTTCCTGAACTTCTTTTACTCGAGGCTAGCACTCTACCACTTGAGCCACAGTGCCATTTCTGGCTTTTTCTGTATATGTGATACAGAGGAATCAAACCCAGAGCTTCATGCATGGGAGGCAAGCACTCTACCACTAAGCCACATTCCCAGCCAGAGTGCTCTCTTTTCAATCAAGCGACAGCCCTGCAGTACACGTGAGGGAGCCAGAGCTGGACAGATGTAAGCCCTCTTGGCTGTTCCTTCACTGGGAGCCCTGGTCTGTAGCCCCACCCATTCCTGGCTTCCTGCTTTGGGGCGGGGCTGGGGGAGGTTGACTCCGATCATTGTGCCCCCCCTCAGGCTGGCAGCATTCTGGGTAAGAAGCACTGAGCTCGCTCCAAAGAAGATCTGTGGGGAGGACGAAGGGTATGGTGGGGAACCTTCTAGACTCGGCCAATGAGTCTGTTCTCTCCATGTCTCAGCATGGCTGCTGAAGTCCTTTCCCCCATCTTCTAGTTTGCACCGCATATACTGCTCACTCAGCCTCCTCGTCCTGCAAACTGCCCTCAGCTCACCGTAGGGGCTGGAGTCTCTGGTATTGTGTCCTTTGTCAGGCTTGCACCCCTGGACAGAGCATAGGCTCTGGCACCCCATGAGGCCAGCCTGATTCTGACTGTTTCTTGTGTCCTAGTAATGCCTGCACCCCGGCTTTTCGCCTTGCTCCCAAATGCTGCCTTGACTGCCCCTCAGTGCGGTCCTGGGAGTGGCTCAGAGCTGGGTGGAGAGCTCTCCTCCCAGAGCTGGCATGAGGGAGGCCCAGCGGCCATCGCGGGCCCCGTATCCCCACTCTCCCGAGCCCCCGGGGTCCCTGCCACTTCCTCTTGCCAACCTTCTCCGTCTATGCGTGCTTCTGTGTACTCTCCCTGCCCCTTGTGTGTGGCAGCCTATCACACACACAGTTTGTGTGGGCAGGTAAAACATCAGGCTTCCAAGGGCGCTGTGTGAAAACAGTCATGTTACTATTTCCCTGTGGATCACTTTATGTTGGATACAGAGTTCAGTAAAATCCAAGATGGAAAGTTCCAGGCCCCCCCTCTGGGCTTCTGACCTTGTTTCAAAAACAGATACAGGTGAAGAATCCCTATAGGCAAGACTAGGGTCAGAAATGTTTCCCATTTTGGATTCCCCCCCCCCCCAGATTTGGAATATTTGCATTCCCTCTTCTAAAAATCCAGAGTCTGAAATGCTCCAAAAGTTTCAGATGAAGCCCTGGGTTCGATTCCTCAGTACCACATACACAGAAAAAGCTGAAAGTGGTGGTGCGGCTCAGGTGGTAGAGTGCTAGCCTTGAGCAAAAGAAGCTCAGGGACAGCGCCCAGGCCCTGAGTTCAAGCCCCAGGACTGGCAAAAAAAAAAAAAAAGCTCCCATTGGGGACAAGGGACACAGCTTGGCATGCAGGCTCCAGCCCCAGCTGGGAAAGGGAGCATTCTGGATTTTGCCTGTTTAGATTCAAGGTGCTCAGGTTGTGTATGGAAAAGTGGGTTTGCCAGTTCTGTTGTAGGCTTTGTGAAGCAGGATCGTCTTGTATTCCCTCACACGGCACGCCTGGGTCTTCATTTTCTCCCTCTTCCCAGATAAGTGTCCAGGCCTTGGGTGGGGTGCGAGTGGATGCTGTTCCCCTGGGGATGAAGCAGTTTCTTAGGGTTCTAGGGTTCCATGTCCAGACCCCAGGGCCAGCACAGGCCAGGTGGATCTGCAGAAGAGAGGGGTGAAGGGACAGGCGTGCGGAGGCCGGGCCCTTGTGGTTCTCAAGGTCACAGCCTCCCCGAGGTCTGCCTTCCTGCCCTAAACCTGGCACGCTCCCTTCAGGCTCCAGTGACTTCCTTTGTTCCCACCCTTTCCCGGCCCAGCCCCAGTGTCACCTTTGGTCCTGGTGTCACCTTGCTGTCATTTTTTTGAGCCCCTGGGCTCCAGGCCTCCACAGGAGGCTTACCTCTCCTCTGCCCACTCCACAATGGGGACCTTCTTACTTCCTCCCTCCTCTCAGCCTCCCCTGCCCCACCCTGGGCTTTATCTGTGGTGGGTGCCTGTGCAGCTCTGATGAGTAGGCCCTGAGCTCAGGTGGGGTTTGTGGCTCGGGGCCGGTCAAGGGGTCTTGCCACATCTTTTCTGCACATCTCAGGAGCATCATTTGGAAAGGGGTCCCCAGCAGACCCTGCTGTGCCGCCCCCCCTCCCTCCACCCCCGCCAGGTGTGATTCTCCCACGTGATCCAGGCTGGACTTGGTGGGCCAGGACTAACGTTGAGCACCACTCCTGTCTCACCCACATGAAGCGCGTGTGATCACTTAGGTCTGTCGTTTATTTCATTTCCTTAAGGCAGAGTCATTGTGTAGCCCCAGCTGGCCTTAAACTCACACTCCTCCTGTCTCTGTCTCCCAAGGGGTACAGCTATAGGCGTGTGCTGCTGTGTGGTGGCTTACTTGGCCTTTTTGTGTGTTGGGATGCTGGGATTCCAACTCAGCTTTGTGCATGTGAGGCTGTTGCAAAACCACTGAGCCATGCCTCCAGCTCTGTTTTTCACCAGAATTTGGGTCTCCTAGGTGTGCACCTGAGCTGTGATCCACCTGCTTTTAATAAACTTCCCATTGTTGCTGGGGTGACAGGTGCTTGCCCCCACATCCAGCTTCCTTCTGGAGATTTTCTGGGATTTTGCTCCTGAGGTTGTCCTCAAACCTTGGTCCTCTCATTCTCAAACTCTTGGGTGCCTAGAATAATTACAAGTGTGAGCCACTAGTGCCTAGTGTTTTTAAATTTTTTTTTTGTCTGTTTGTTTCTTGTCAATCGTGGGGCCTGAACTCTGGGCCTGGGCACTGTCCCTCAGCTCTTCAGCTCAAGGCCAGTGCTCTACCACTTGATCCACAGCACCACTTCCGACTTTTTCTGCATATGTGGGGCTGAGGAATCGAACCCAGGACCTCATGCATATGAGGCAAGCACTCTACCACTGAGCCACCTTCCCAGCCCCATGCTTTTTTTTTTGTCGGTCATGGGGCTTGAACCCTGAGTCTGGGCGCTGTCCCTGAGCTCTTCAGCTCAAGGCGAGCGCTCTACCACTTGAGCCACAGCACCACTTCTGGCTTTTTCTGCTTATATGGTGCTGAGGAATCAAACCCAGGGCCTCATGCAAGCGAGGCACCCGTGTTTTTTATTTTTAAGTGTATAGCTTTCTTTTTTCAAACAGTGTCAATGCATCTGTTATTGCTATCAATTTTAGACATTTTCATCACCTTAAATAGACCACCCATCACCATTAGCAGTCACTCAACTCTTACCACAGCCCCTGCTACTCCCTCCCTCCCCCCACCATAGACATCCCATCTCTGGGTCCACTTGTTCTGGACTTTTCCTGACAATGGAGCCACACACTGTGGGGCCTTTTGTGTCTGCTCCTCTCCCTGAACACAGGGGCCGCCAGCTCCCTCCACGCCGGGTGTGGGCCAGAGCCTCATCCTGTGCCTGGCTGCGTGTGCTCACGTGTTGGCAGCCCCTTTGGGCTGTGGGGAATGATGTCATGGATGGCGGGCAGATGGCTTCTCTTGTGGCCCCACCCAGCCTGGAGTGGGCCTGACGGTTTTCTGGCCCCCTTGCAGCTGATCCACCTGGAGATCAAGCCAGCTATCCGGAACCAGATCATCCGCGAGCTGCAGGTGCTGCACGAGTGCAACTCCCCGTACATCGTGGGCTTTTATGGCGCCTTCTACAGCGACGGGGAGATCAGCATCTGCATGGAGCACATGGTGAGGGACCTTGGGGTGCCGGTGGGCTGTGCAAGTACCTTTGCTCTTGCATTCCTGAGAAGCACTGTCTCCCATCTGCCCCTGCAGTAGCCCGCATGCGCAGGTCACCGAGCATGATGGGGGGCGGGGGCGGGGTAGAGGGGTGGAGGGTGGAGCGGCAGGGCGCCGGAAGCAGCTCATGCCCCTTTCCAGACAGCAGTTGGTAGCTGCACTGGGTGTAGCTGCCAACGGAGAGCTATGCAGGCAGCATCTGGGCCCACACTCTAACCAACCCAGGCCCAGGCTCAGGTGGAGCCAGGTGCTTGCTTTTATGTGCCACCATGGTCCTGGCCAGCCCAGTGTGAGCTGGGCATGGGTCAGATGCTCTGGTGTCCAAGCTCAGAGTTGGGTGGGAAGGGGGTCACAAAAGCAGAAGTGGTCGGAGCTGTAGGTCAGGGGAGGAAGTGACCCCCAGCCACTGCTTCAGGTACCAGCTGCCCACAACAGCCCACCCCCCCCTTGCAAAACCAGGCTGCATGGTACGAAGGCTCACTTATGCCCTGTGCATACATTTTGACTGTCCATGTTGTGCAACACAACAGGAAATGAATTAGAGCAAGAGCCCTGGTGTCTCCAAGCAAGGTTGTACTGTTAGAAGCCCCTTCCCCACCTGCCCTATCTCGCCTGGTGCAAGCAGGGGTCAAAGGTGGGAGACAGAGCACCCGCCCAGCAGTGCTTAGCACCAGGTGCTGCTTCCAGAGCCTCCGCTTCCCCTGCAGGAAGGGAGCCTCATCCTGGCCCTGCTCTGGGTGTTGGTGGACAGACCTCAGGGGTCCCCAGAGCAGCGCTGGGCCCGAGGGCTCTGCACACTGCCAGTGAGCAAGCACATCAGGAAAGATGGGGTGCAAGGATGGACTTCCGGGGTGTGGCCACACCACGGTGTGGATGGAGGCCACTGAGGGCCGGGTGTGAGGTTCCTTGACGAGCCAGGGACCTGGGGAGAGCAGAATGGGGAGCAGTGGTCACCCTGGTGCACAGAGTATGCTCCATCCACTGCCTCCCCGGGAAGATGTCTGGGCTGAGACGGGCTCAAAGTCAGGAGGCAGGCCTGGGGTTGGGGTTAGGTCTACTGCGTGCTCTCACTGTGGGGCTTGAGCTGGGCCCTGTGTAGGCTGCCAGGTGAGGACCAGGGCTGAATCTGGGTTGCCCTGCACCTGCCAGGTGTTGACAGTGGCTGTGGCCTGACCTCTCTGGTCTTGGTATGGGGACCTGCCAGATCAGTCCTGGTTTTAGAGGTGTAGGCTTATCCAGGACAGGAGTACATGACGGGGTGCTGATGGCTGGGGTATGTGGGGGCCGCTGGGTCTTACGACCCCACCCCTCACACTGCATGCTACCTGGGGACCAAATGTCTGTGTGAGTTGTGCAGGACTCGGCGCCCTCCCAAGCCCCAGCTGTGCCTGAGCTGATGATACTGTATGATCGTGTGGCATATTAATAGGCTAGCGTAATTGGTCCCAGGCTGTCCATATACCTCAGGCTCAGCATTGCATTTATGTACATTGTTATCATAACGCCAGGCTACTCTGTGAAGAGGACTGGTTCACTGTGGCTCTGTGTTGGGGTTCTCAGTCATGATCTGGTGACCTCATTGCTTTTAAGCCCATGACCCCTCAGAGCAGGGCAGGGGCTCCTGAGAAGCAACACTACTCACCTGCGGCTCACGCCTGTCATCCTAGCTACTCAGGAGGCTGAGATCTGAGGATCACAGTTCAAAGCCAGCCCAGGCAGGAAAGTCTGTGAGACTCTTATCTCCAATGAACCACCAGGAAACCGGAAGTGGCGCTGTGGCTCAAGTGGTAGAGCGCCAGCCTTGAGCTGAAGAGCTCAAGGACAGCGCCCAAGCCCAGAGTTCAAGCCCCACAACCCAAAAAAAGAGGAGCAGGAGGGGGAGGGGGAGGAGGAGGAGGAGGAGGAGGAGGAGGAAGAAAAGCTAGGAAGAAGACTGTAGTCCCCTTTGAGGACCCGCCCCCAGTGACTTGAAAACCTCCCTTGAGGCCCCGCCTCTTAAAGGCTCCACCACCATCCCTAGCACCAAGCCAGGGACCAAACCTCCAGCAGACCCAGAGGCCTTTGAGGCCTCTGCAGGTATGACTGGAATGCCTGAGCTGTACAAGTCTGCTGCCTGAAGCTCCCTGAGCACTGAAGCCCTCGCTGGAAGCAGGGGACCGTGCACAGGCACCTCATGACACTGTCACAGCAGGGTCCGGGGTTCTGAGCTGCGCTCTGCCTTGTGTGGCGATGGAAGGGCAGTCCAGGTGTGGTGTGTCCAGGACAGGCAGAGTGATGTCGGCCTTTCACGGTGGCAGAAGGAAGCGGCCTGTGTGCAGGCCACAGGGGCAGCAGTAGGGGCTGGTGGGGGAGTATGGGTAGGCAGACATTCCTCTAAACTGCTGACACGAAAATGGCAGCTAGAAGACTGGGGCAGTCAGTCCCACAAGTGGCCTCCATCCTTCCCCGCACCCCGCCTGCTAGCATGCAGACCTGGGGAGGGTGGGACTCGGGGGATGGAGACAGCAAAGAAGTGTGCTAGTTCTACACCCCGTCCAGCTTCCCAGGCGAGGTACCCCTGCCAGACTCCAGCTGGCCTGATTATGCCCCAGGGATCTCACTGGAGCCATGTGACCCTCAGGAGATGAATGGCAGGTATTCTAGGTGACCCCTGGACTCTGTGCCCGTGCCCTTCACAGGCGTCCTTGTTACAGGGCACGGTCCCCGCTTCCTAACCCTCTCGAGAAATGCTGATGGGGGCGGGGAGCACATGGGGCAGATGCCCAGAGATGAGACAGCCCACCTCCTCCTCCTCCTCCCCTGAGCATCTCATGTCACCCCCTGGTTCGTCACCCCTTTGTCCCTATCCCTGCCAAGTCTTGGCTCAGCGTGTGCTCAGGTTCCAGGCCTGGTGGCCTCTGTCCCTGCCCAGGTTGGGCCACACGGGGCACTTGGGGCATGTGAGCCGCCCGGAGACCTCAGGCAGGCAGATAGCCCAGCAGGCAGGACAGACCTCTCTAAGGAGCTGGGTGGGGACACCCTGCATTCTGGGCCTTCATGTCTGCTGCTGGGGCGCAGAGTCTGCAGCCCCAAAGGCCAACAGGGCCAGGGGAGAGCCTGCCCTTTTCCAAGGCTGGAGCGGGGATCTGGCAGGGAAATATGACCATGGGTTCTGGGGGGGAGGGGTGCCGCCCACCCTTCCTAACCACACACCCCCACCTTGGCCTGCAGGATGGCGGCTCCTTGGACCAGGTGCTGAAAGAAGCCAAGCGGATTCCAGAGGAGATCCTGGGGAAGGTCAGCATCGCGGTGAGTGTCACCTGTCCTCACACCAGCCCCCGTGAGCCAAGACTCCTTCCCGAGGTACCTGTGGGAGGTCGCCAGTGATGTTCCCTGTGCCCAGTTGAGGGTCTCTGAATCCCCTGCCCTCTCCTGCTGGTTGGGACACCTGCCTACTTGTGGACATTGCTGGCCCCGGGCAGGTCTGACGCTAACATGCAGAGGAGCATTGGGTAGTAGTGCCGGGGCCCAGACCTTCACTTTGCTGAGAGGGACATGGTGCACCTGCCCCACGGGTATGGTGGCTGAGCAAGACTGGCAACTTAGCACAACACTATAATCACTCCACCACCATGCCGTCTTCCATTTCCTGGCCTCGGTTGTCCGGGGTGGCTGGGCCAGACAGCATCAGCCTGCCCACATGCTCCCTGAACAGTGCCCCCATGGGGCTGGCACCACCCAGGGTGGCTGCCACCAGGTGCACACACCTTCCGTGCAGGTCCTGCCTCTGTCTCTGCCACCAAGGGCCTCGGCTGCCTGAACTTAACAACAAGGCAAGGATGGTGGCCACCTTACTCTGCTGCAGTTCTTGCTCTAGCCCTGGCCAGCTGGGTGTGACCTAGAAGGGCGCTCCTGCAGACTCTGCAGCCAGCTGGGTCTCCCCGGGGGCTGGGGCCCTCCTGGCTCCATCCTGCTCACTGCCCCGTGGTCCGCAGGTGCTCCGGGGCCTGGCCTACCTGCGGGAGAAGCACCAGATCATGCACCGAGGTGAGGACCGGGGCCTCCCGGATGGGCAGGCGGGTGGGCAGGCACGCGGGGCGCCGCGGGCCTCACCCTCGTCCATCCGTCCCTTCCCAGACGTGAAGCCTTCCAACATCCTCGTCAACTCCCGAGGGGAGATCAAGCTGTGTGACTTCGGGGTGAGCGGGCAGCTCATTGACTCCATGGCCAACTCGTTCGTGGGCACCCGGTCCTACATGTCTGTAAGTTCCCTCCCGCCACCATCGCTGCTCAGCACCCGTGCTAGCCAGCTGCGGGCGAGGACAGAGGGTGGCCAGGAGCTGGGCCCAGTGCCCCCCAGCCACCTCCTCCTATCTCCCGACAGCCAGAACGGCTGCAGGGCACCCACTACTCCGTGCAGTCGGACATCTGGAGCATGGGCCTGTCCCTGGTGGAGCTATCCATCGGGAGGTACCCCATTCCCCCGCCGGACGCCAAGGAGCTGGAGGCCATCTTTGGCCGGCCCGTGACGGACGGGGCGGAAGGAGAGCCCCACAGCATCTCACCACGGCCCAGACCCCCTGGACGCCCCGTCAGCGGTAGGCCCCACAGCTGCGGCCTGGGATGGGGCGGGAGGAGACCCCGCGGGCCTTGCTGTGCTGGCAGCCGCCTCCCCGCTGGCCCTCGCCACGCCAGCTGTCCCCAGACGGAGCAAGCTGCGGTCAGCCGTCCTCAGATGGTCTTGGGGTTTCTGGGGACAGAGCTGCAAGCAGTGTGCACCACAGACCTCTTGTGCCCAGAGCGCCTGCACCTGTCACCGGCAGCAGACAGGATCCAGAAGCCGACTCAGCCAGGCCATGCTGGCTGCCTGGTTTTCTCAGCATTGTCTTGTGGAAACCCCGAGTGGGGGCTGGGCTATGGCCTGTGGCACACAAGGCCCTGGGTTCCATCCCCAGCATAGGGAAAGGAGAAGGAAAACATGCCGGCAGTCAGGAGAGCAGCAGGGGGTGCCCTCTCCTTCCATTGCCAGGTTGACACAAAGCTGTGCAGCCAGCACTGTCTGCTTCCAGAGTATTCCATCGCACCAAATGGAAGCCCCGTTCCCCAGAGCACCACCCCAGCCCCCAACCTCCACAAGTCCTCTCCCTGTCCCACATCCACCTGTTCTGGATGTTTCCTGTCCATGGAGCCACACTGGGGCCTTTGGTGTCTCTTCTCACTGAGCATGGTGGCCCCAGGGCCTCTCCACGCTGTAGCGTGGGTCACAGCCACACCGAGTCCCTGGCCTTCGGTGCCGCAGTGTGGGGCTGGCCTCGTCCAGGTTTCCCGGGGAGTCTTCCCAGGCCTTTGTCCTCAGAACGCTCCCTCCTTCCCCCCCACCCCTCCCAGATGGACTCTAGGCCTCACCCTATGGGGAGGAGCATGGGGGTGTGCCAGCACCTCACCGTGTGCCAACTCAGCCTGGCCAGCTGGGCCTTGGGCAGGGGTCAGCCACCCCTCCGCTTGCTTACTGCAGATGGCATCTGGAGCCTCCACTGTCCCTGCCAGAGCTCTGCTTGAGGTCACGCTGCCCCCTCGGTGGTGGCTGCCCCCTCCCCTGCCCGGATGGGCTGTCTTCGGCATGGCGGGGAAGCAGCGTGGCACCAAGTGTGTGACTCCGGAGAGGATGCCCATGTCCGCCTTGGCGCGCACTCCGGCGTCTGACTCACCGGAGGCCCCAGACAGAATCTGCCTCCCCCAGGGATGGCAGGCAGTGCCCCATCCCTCGCACACCTGCTGCCCCCGGGGGACACTCAGGCCCACGCCTCAGACGCGCACCTCCTGGGAGCAGAGGCTCACCCGCACTTTCACTACCGTGTAGGTCACGGGATGGACAGCCGGCCCACCATGGCCATCTTTGAGCTGCTGGACTACATCGTGAACGAGGTGGGTGCCCAGGCCTTGCCTGTGCTTTTCAGTAGCTAGGGTCGGGGGTCACAGCCGTTGCTCCCTCTCCCTAGCTCAGGGTCAGGGTTTGGTTTGGTTTGGTTTTGGCAGTGGTTTGATCTGAACTCAGAGCCTAGCCTTTACTAGGTAGGCGCTCTATCACTTGTATCACATAGACCCTTTCTGCCTATAGTTATTTTGTGATTATCACCTGGAGTTGTGCCTAAGTCAGCTTCAGACTGTGATCATCCTACTTAGGCATTGCATATAGCCAGGTTGACAGGTGTGAACCACCATACCCAGTTCATTTGCTGACATGGAGTCTTGTGGACTTTTTGCTCAAATTCAATTACTAGAATGAGCTATTGAACCCAGTCATGAGTTTTTGTTTTTGTTTGGGGGGGGGTTAAATGAAGAATCCAGGTGCACCGGTGGCTTACACCTATAATTCTAGCTTTGAGCAAAAAGAGCTCAGCAAAGCTGGGCACTGGTGACTCATGCCTATAATCCTAGCTACTCAGGAGGCTGAGATGTGAGGATCTTGGTTCAAAGCCAGCCCAGGCAGGAAACTGAGAGATTCCTATCTCCAATAAACTCAAAAAGGCTGGAAGTGGCTGGGCGCTGGTGGCTCACGCCTGTAATCCTAGCTACTCTGGAGGCTGAGATCTGAGGATCGAGGTTCAAAGCCAGCCTGGGCAGGAAAGTCCATGAGACTCTTATCTCCAATGAACCACTAGAAAACCAGAAGTTGTGATGTGGCTCAAGTGGTAGAGTGCTCTCCTTGAGCTGAAAAGCGCAGGGACAGCGCCCAAGCCCAGAGTTAAGCCCCACGACTGACCCCCCCCTAAAAAAAAGGCTAGAAGTGGTACTGTGGGTCAAGTGGTAGAATATTCATCTTGAGCAAAAGAAGCTCAGGGACAGTGCCCAGGCCCTGAGTTCAAGCCCCAAAACACACAATAAAAAACTCAATGTAGGGGCTGGGAAGGTGGCTCAGTGGTAGAGCGCTTGCCTTGCATGCCTGAGGCCCTGGGTTCGATTCCTCAGCACCACATAAGCAAAAAG